GCCTGTAGCCAGGTTTTTCAGTTGGCCAGAGGAAGGTAGAGAGAGAGCTCTCCTCCAAAAATACAAAATAAGTAGACTCCTTGATACTACACCAGAAACCCTTCCTCTCGTTAAAGGACTTTGTAGAATTAAGCAATGAAGTTTAGTTTCACTAAGCACAAGCAAACTACACCAAGAGGGCAAGAGGAATAAAGAAACAGTAAACCTGTAGTTAGTCTCCCAGGCCACCTACTAAACCTCTCCCCTCTTTTCTGCCATCTGTGCCAATAATGCTAGCTTGCTTCTCCATTGCTCCTGAACATACACATCATTTAAACATTATCTCTTTGGCTCAACATACTTTCAATAAGCATTGTTTGAGGCACTAAGGAAGTTGCTGGAGGTACACAAACAAATGCCACACAATTCATACCGTAAAGGAACTAACTCTTGAAAGAGATGTATTTTTTTTAAATACTTTCAAAATGAGTATGAAAATGTTGGTATAACAAATTAAAGGATGAGTTGCAGATAACTCTATTGCTTTTCCTAAGTTAAATCTTGATAAATACTTTATTATTTTTTTTAATTTGTAGATGGACACAAATGGACCTTTATTTCATTTATTTATATGTGGTGCTGAGGATCAAACCCAGTGCCTCATATGTGCTAGGCAAGCGCTCCACTGAGTTATAACCCCATCCCCACCCTTTTTTTTAAAGCACTTATTTCCCACTCCATATTTACTTTCTTAGGAAAGCTGAGCAGATTCAGAGTACCACCTTACACAAGGTCGCCAGTATACAGAAAATTTTAGGTTATCAAAGAAATATAATCTTTGTTCAATAGTAATGCTGACATGTATCTTATATTTAATTTGCTCAAAAAGATGACTTACAAAAGTTTACAACTTTATCCATGATTTTTTCTGGTAAGGAAAGCAATGTGAAAAGGAAATCTGGGCAGAAAAAAATTAGATAAAGCCATGAATGAGGTTGGTAAACAAACACATATCATTAAAATACTGCAGAGTTGGTCAGGGTAGGCCACAAATTTGACTCTAAGCCTTCTAGCAGCTAAGGGGAAAAAGAAGAAGTGTGACTAATTACATGATTCATAGTGTCTGTATGATAATTTTTCATGGAAATGACACCTCAAATTTTCTCCATAGGTCTTCCAACACTAGTATTCACATACTTCCTTTGGAAATACGTTTCCTTAGTATTACCTCTTACTTAGTGCTCCTAGCCTAAAGCACGCATACTATAATGACAAATAAAATGTCTAGATTTATTTTCTTAAAAAAATAAAATTGTTATTTGTGCACAAAGCATGAAGTGCCTAGGGTGTTTCATATGTTAGATGTCAATGACACCCCACAGTCACTGTTTTAAAACTTTACAACCAAGACTTGCCCTGAAAATTTCTCAGACCAAAAATCTATAGCTAAGGCTTTTCTTGACAGTGTCATACAACATTAATACCATAAAGTATATCTGAGTAACAATGGATGATAGTTTCAATACAGTAAATGTTCCTGAATCTTTTGAGAACAAGATGAAAATAAAAGTAATGATCATAATATTTGATATTAGGGTTCTTCATCAGTAGCAGAAGCAGCCACATAATTTATGAAGTGCCTACTCTATGCCAAGTATTAGTCCATGTACTTTACATCCATCACCTCCAATCCTATAAACAAGTTAAGGGTGTCAATATTAATTATATTTTATAAAAAAGAAAATAAAAATCATCTTAAAAAGAAAACAAAGATTATTAAGAAGCAAATACCTTTATTTATTTAAAATTTACAGCTATAATGAATTCTCAAATATACACAGAAATTGAAAATATATTATACTCCACATATCTCAAAAATCAAGATTTATTAATTACAGAGACTTTTTCAGATTTCCTTTATCTATCCCTTTTTTGTTCCTCCTTTGAGGAAGTATTTTAAAGAAAGCCTTAGGCATATAATTTTAACTCTACATCAATATGCCTTTTTTAAAATATAAGGGCAGGTCCTTAAATAATCACAAGCTAAAATCAAACTCAACAGACTCAAACAATAATTTCTTGGAATCCTCTTAGTCACTAATCAAATTTTCCTAATTTTCCCATAAAGTCTTTTTATAATTAGTTTGTTCCAATTGGAATAAAAAAAAAAAAAAAACATACACACAAACATTTCATTATTTCTCTTAAATTTTTTTCCTATTTTTTGTTCCCTATCCCTGATTATGATAAAAGTAAATATCTTTATTTTAATTGAGATAATTTACATTCCCCAAATCCACATTAAAAATATATAATTTTAGTATGTGCACATAGCTATGCAGGTATCACCACTGTGTACTTTAAGAATTTTTGCATCACGCCAAAAAGAAAACCTGACACACGTCAGCAGTGGCTCCTCATGCCCCCTCCTAGTCCTCAGCAATAACTAATCTACTCTCCATCTCTACAGATTGTTCTAGACATTTTCTATAAATGGAATCATAATTATAAATGTATTTTAGATGTCTATTAGTTAGACACCATAGACAGATCTACCTTAGGTACCAAAAAATATATGACATGGTTCATGTATATAACAGAGGAGATAAATGGTAATAAAATCCTTGCACCATGGTTGCCATTATGAATGCTTTCAGCTCAAGGTTTTTGACTTTTCCTCACAAGCATTAAAGGGCCAATGATAGTCATGTAAGTGACATACCCATGGGTTACCCATATGTGACAAAAAGTTCAATTTTCTGCTGGCCATCATTTTCACAAAGACATACCATTATCCAAAAATGATGGTTTATCATAGTGGTAATGTGGGTAGGTAAGCTCAGCACCCGAGATACACCTCCCAGCTTTCTCTCCTTTTCACAAAAGCATGCCAAAATGCAAGACAGAGAAGGGAAACTTTATTTTTATTGATTCTTAGTATACTACTCAGAATCAATATACTACTGGCAGCTTATGAGGAAGGCAGAAGAGGGCAGGGTTGAGAGCATAAACCCCAAATCTGTTCATTGTCCAGAATCAGATAACCTGTGCACTTTACCAATTAATAGCTATGTGACCTTTGGAAAATAATCTCCAAGTCTCAGTTTTCCCCTATGCCAAATGGAAATACAAATAAGTGTGGCTGCTTTGAATACTAAACACAAAGACCTTAAGATAACTTGCTTACTAAATGCTGGCTATTTGCAATAAATAATTGTTATTTTTTAACTATTATTAACAAATGATGCCTCAGAGCTGACAAAGTCACTTCAGTGTGGGGCCTCTAACATGTGACAGGACTGTCAAAGAGGAACAGATGAAGTAGAAAAGTTCTCCATGCCCTGGCATAGTGACATTTAAGGGCAATAACAACGTGGACTTTGAGGATTTGAAAATCAGAAACTTAGATACCCAACTGCTCCTTCCTTAGCCTTAAGAACCCCTAAAGCCGAGCATCAACCCTATGAAGATATTTTTGGTCTGAGAGAAGAATGCAGCTGTTAGGAGCTTTCCATCATTCCTTTCTGGCACTTGGGATGTAAAAATTAATAATTCAATAAAGACAGAAAGGAGCAGGTGAATGTGTCTGTGCAAGGGAGGAAGGGAGAGAAAGGTCTGCCCCTCACAGGGCCCACAGAGGACCATGGGGAAGCAGCCTACATTTCCCACTGCACTCCTTCACTCTCCTAGGTGGCCATAGTTGAGACTTTTTCACTCCCCCCTTATACTTCCCTTATTTATGTGATTACATTTCTCTAATATTAATTATCTCTACAATCTTTTTACCATTATAAAAATCACCTTACTTGCAATAACAGGTTTAGATAACACTCAATAGATACTAAGTCTCAAATAGAGCTAGATTTCACAGATTGTTTCTTGTGCATCAGCGTCTTCCTCTTCAACTACTGCCTACTCTGGGTGTTCATGCACAGCATGGAGGGAAGAGGGCGATTTTATCACCATCCCTTTACTGGTTGGCTGTTGGTTGTTTTGTCTTTAAGAACTAAGGTAAACCAAGTTCCCAGGCATGCTTCAGAAGCTTTATGTGAACTGTAGGCATCTACTTTGTAGGGAAGAGGGACTCTCTGCCTATGACTGACAGAAAATCCCTCTCATCCCTTGCCACACTTTATCCCCACAGCATTAGGCTTACCCCGCTTTAGAAAGTGATCTTGCTTTAAAAAAAAAAAAAAAATTAAAGGAGAGACTTCTAAGTCTTACCAATGAATCTTTAATAAAGGACTAAAATTTGGAGGGGAAAGGCAAAGGAAGAATTTCACTGCCTATGTTATATTTTACATTCCTCTAAAGAGTCCAAAGTTTTTATAATGTGGTAATGATTAAACAAGAATACCTAGATAATGGCTAAAATCTGAAATAGTTTTATCAGTCTAAATAATGTTTCTTTATAAACAATTCACCTTTTCACATCCATCAATTTACAGAAATATGAAGGCAAAAAACTTAGAGAACCCATATAATTCGAGCAGCATAAACTGTTATAGGAGAAAGAGATCATCTGAATTTAGTTGCCCACTTGACCAGCTTTCCCTGAACATCAAACTGCAAAATATTTAAAAATAAATGAGAACTGGGTGCAGCGGCACACACCTGAATCACAGTGAATCAGGAGGTTGATACAGGAGAATGGCAAGTTTGAGGCCGGTCTCAGGAGCTTGGAGAGACCCTGCCTCAAAATAAAATATAATAAGGGCTGGCAATGTAGCTCAGTGGTAAAGCAACCCTGGGTTCAAAAACAATTCCAAAAACAAATAAATGAGAGAATTAAAATAATGAAAAAAAAAAGTCATTTTTTAGCTTCTCCTTTGGTGATAAGAAACAGGAAGGCAAGGAATCAAAAACTAGAAAACCATGCATCACCTGGGAAAAGTCCAGTGTGTACAGGAGAGAACTGTGGTCTCTTCTGGCTTTTTTTTTTCCCCCATAAGATTATGGTTTTAATGTAGAATATTGGCATCATCGCTTATTTTCTTGATAAAAGCATAACTGTGTCTTACCTGGTCACAAATCAGTTCCCATTTTTTCTCATTGTCATATTGACGCAGTAACCTGGCTTTGTCAGGAGGTAGGTTCATAGCATTCTGTAAAAAGAAAAAAAAAAAAAGGAAAAAGGTCTGTCAGTAAATAACAGGTAAGCAGAGCAAAGACTACACTGTGGCCCTTCAGTGACAGACTTTCATTTCCTAGTAGTAACTGATTCAGTTAAAACACCCTGCAGAAGTCATTAAACATCGAACTGGTTTGACGGCGGAAGGAAGCTCTGAAGTCCTGTGAGATGGTCTGCTCTTAACCATCAGACTTGCATTTCAGCAAAGGTGATGCTTTGTTTCTTCATATCACATCAGCCTCCCTTTGGACTCCACAAAAAGGGCAGAAGTGGTTCTTCAGAAGGTAACTTCTCAATTTCTTCTTAAAGCACTATGGTGCCACCAGGCACAGAAAGCTCTAAAATAAAACTCAAATGACCAGAACCACCAATAGCATCAACTTTTTACTCACTTTGATGAACAAGGAGTAAAAAAAAAAATGAATTTTTGAAAATGACAACAGAATTGTTTTCTGTCCTTCAAGACATGTAAATATTAGCGACCTTAATTCTTAGGTCAGCTACACTGGTGTATGAAGTTGAGTTTGCAGATGAGAGACTGACCCTGAGCCGAATGAAATGTCCTCACATCAGCATTCATACAACCCCTCTGTTAACTCATCTTCTGTAGTGCTGCTCATGAATTTTCCTACACATTCATGTGTTACGAATCTATGTTCAAATGACCAATCATATGCATTTTCAAGATCCTTAAGCTTGAGTCTGAGCTAAGATATTTGTGACAACAGAACAAGGAAGGGTGAGGGAGCCCCAAAAGGAATTCCAATCTGTTCCCTTGGCTACCCCAAAGTTCCCATGCTCTAAACAACTTAGCTAAGTAGTTAATTAATGTATTATGAATATTAATTGTCTGGCCCATGCTCTGGCACCAGCAATTTAAACATATGGATCAACTACAATGCAGTTCCTGATTTAGATCAATATTTTAGTAGACAAAAGCAAAGGTCTTGATCTTTTAATATTCAACACCCCAGCTCTCTCAAGGACATGGCTTATAGTGAAACAGCTCCCTTAGCCTGGTTACTATTGCATGTCAAAGGGCAAAACAAATTTAATAGAGGCAAAAGTAGGTGAACTACTCTAACTTAATGGCAAATTCAACTTGATGATTTTGATAGATTGAATTTAAGAGAAACTGCCTAGGTTAAATCTAATGTTCAGATTGGTATGCCTTGAATCGATCTACAGCTATTAATTTGAATCTAATCTGTCATATTTTAAAACTAATAGTCTGTTTTCCAAATATTTAATTTTTAAATTACCCCCAAAGCTGAGAATATCAGTTGAACAGCTTTGGACTCCAGAGTTTTCAATGGTACTCCTAAGGCTTCTTAGATACAAAAATATCTAAATAGGAAAAACACTTTCATATAATCTGTCTCCATGGAATATCTACTTAAACCAGAATAGAAAACACCTACTTACATTTATTAGTTATAACAATTTAACAGTATTAAACAACAACCAACAGTATTATTCAACAACCTGGGATAAGGCAAAGGAGAATTCCATGTGTATCTTTTGGGGATGGAATATTATTTACTGTTAAATAACCAGTCTACCTTTGCTTATTTCACCCTGGAGATGGACTTTTTCCCCTTATACCAGTTTTGACCCTCAGGTTAGTACCTCTCAGTATGATTATGCAGAAAATAGAAACAAGGTAAGTTAAATGAGTTTTCTTTTCCTTGATTCCTTATTAATTTCTTGAGATATGAAGGAAATAAGAATGCCTGAACTCCTACAAGGTATCAAAGCACTATATTAGGCACTGTAAATATAGAACCTTGCTTAATATTCTATTTCATAAGAATATGAGATAGATAAAACTTTCTTTCTCCATTTAATAGATGGGGAAACAGACCCTGGAGAACTTGATTAAGGATGCAAAGATCAGCAGTAGGACCAACACTTAAGTCTGTTAGATTCCCAAGGACATGCTGTAAAAGTACCATCAAGTTCTCCTGTGGCAAAGCAAAAAAAGTAAGATGCTCCTTCTAGACCAACTTTCTGGGTTGTGTGTGTGTGTGTGTGTGTGTGTGTGTGTACGTGCATGTGCGCGCGTGCACACACGCTAGGGATTGAACTCAGGGCCTTGTGCATGCAAGGTAAGTACTCTACCAATTAAGATATATCCCCAACCCCAACTTTCATTTTGATTAAACAATCTTCCATTCAACAAATGGTCATGAAGCACTGTTCCTTCACAAGCATTCTGTGCCATGCTGGGTGACACAGGGGAAACTAGACACACAAAGGGCAGAGGTTTTTAAATTCTGGCAAATCTTGAGAGAGGTTATTAGACTGTAGGTTTAAATTAGAGGATTGGGAAAGGACACTTAGGGAAAAAGTAGCAATTAATATGAATCCTAATGAAGGAGGAGGAGTCCGTCAAGTCAAGAGTGGACAAAAGCATGCTGGGCAGACAAAAATATTGGAGACTCAGGCAAGAAAAAAGTTGGTGCTTTCAGAGAACACAAAGAAAACCAGTTTGGCCAAAAAGAAAGTAAAAGAGAAAGAATGAGAGAAAGATGAATTCGGACACGTGAATCAAAGCCATATCATGCCAAGACATGCAGGTCAAGGTCAATAATTTTGATTTTCGTCTGAAGTGCAATGGGAAGCCACTGAAAGCTTTTAAATAAGGACATAACACAAGCACACTGTTTTACAAAGGTGCTACACAGAGGAGTGGTTACATAGCAAGAGTGGAAGCAGAGAGGCCATGAAGGGGCCAGGTCAGGAATTCAAGTGAATGTCGGTGGGTTGGATGAGGGTAGTGGCATATCAAATGAAGAAAAGTGGACAGATAAGAGAAATACTATGTGAAACTCGCTGGTGAGGCCTAAGGGCTGCAAGAAGCGAGGCGCTAAGCAATTCAGTGAGACCCTATCTCTAAATTAAATACAAAATAGGGCTGGGGATGTGACTCAGTGGTCAAGTGTCCCTGAGTTAAATCCCAATATAATGCCTAGTGACATATCCAGCTTGAGTTACTAGGTACACAGGAGTCCATTTTATCAAAAGGATACCCAAGAAAAGGCAGCATGAATCTTGAGAAGGTGGGAAAGAATAAGATTTCCCGGTAGCCCTGTCTGGGTCTGCGATGACGATGAGATGCCCAGGCGGACAGTCAAGCATGTAGGCATGTACATGATTGTGGGGGTCAGAAGAAAGATATATATTTCCCTAAAGAAGAGCCTTAGGAAATGATTCTGAGCCTGATAACTGGTTATTGCCAGGAAAAGTAGCTCAACATCAGTACATCAGAACTAAAACTATACTTGGTAATCATTCACCAAGCATCTCAAATAACTCCTTTCATGAGTCAATACTCTGAGCTGCTCAGGTGTACACTATACAGCTTAATTCTACAGGGACTAGGAGGAAGCAGTTCTATTTAAAATCAGACACTCCGCAGAGGCCTGTCTGAAGTTCAGGGATGTTGTGATTAGCTGGTCATAACTGCTCCAAAATTTCTTTAGAGTAAACTCATTCCTTTTGTGCTATAAAGGGCAGGACTCTAGAGTCTAAGCTAAATGTTTACACAGGTAATGCACAAGAGTCCAAGTTATTTTCTGAGAAAAATATTGGCTCTGTCTCCAAATCCCTTTGCTCCCTGTATAAAAATGGTCTGCTCTTCTATTTGGCTGAAAATGTAAATCAATTTCCAAGTTTTCCTAACACAGTGACAGCTCTACTTCACCCAAACTTAGGGATATCTGTGAGACAGGACTCTCTTTTTCTTGTTGTGATCCATCACCCATCTAACATTTACTGGACTTTGACCACGTGCCAGAACATCTGCACTGTAGGCATATGAAAGAATTTAATCATAACATTGTTGCACACCAGTCCTGCCAAAGTCCCACTGAAGATATATGATATTTGAGTTGAAAAGGTTAGTGGACACTAATTATCTATTTTCTAGATTGTACAAGTTCCAAGCTACAATAAATTAGACCATCTCAGAGTTCTGTAAGGACAGTGTAGGGCAAGACTTTATTAGGTGGGCGCTGAAATTGGGCTCACTAGATTCCAACCCTGACTACCACTTACTACTGGTGATGAGGAAGCACACTATTTAAATCAAAAAGCCAATTTAATGAATAATCCAGAGTCAAAAAGCTAATATATGTAATACAAATCTGAAGGTCAGAGAATCAGGTCAGAATCAAAGAGAAGGCTCAAAATCAGTAAGACATATATTTAATGATGGTCTGAGAGATCTCAGGCACTTACGCTCTTTGCATGCATTATCCAATTTAATTTGTCTTATAATCCTGACACATAGGCATTATCATCTCCACTTAACAGAAAGGAAAGTGAAGGTCAAGAGGGGTAAGTAACTCCTCTATGCATGAGATAGGGGGCAAGCAAGGTCTCAAACGACAGGGCTGATCACCCTTTTTCCATGGCACAAAAGCTGAAACCCTTCTAAAAATCTGACTTGTCTGAATTAAGCAATCTGACAATTAAACCTGAATACTCAGAGACAGAGTAATCAGCATGTAAAGGTGAAAGTGTATGGTATTATTTAGGCTACTGATATTTTCAGATAAAATACCGACATTTCAAAACAAACTTCAAAGAACTTAAAAAATGTAAATGACAACAAAATGGCCAGGCTAAAAGTAGACAGCAAGACATGGCAGCAAGTCACAATACACTTAATAAACCCTGACAACAATCAAATCAAGGTGCAGAGACAAATGTGGGTTAAACTCAGGCTTTGATGAAGACTCAATGAAGCAAGAGAAAAGGTAAAGTCACCAATCCAAAACACAGCGCTTCAGATGACAGCTTCAGAGGAAGGCAGTTATTTCTGTTATGTAAAGCAGGGCATGCTTTGTGCTTGGCCTCGGTGTGTGGGGAGGAGGGCAAAGACGGGCAATGAATGGCACAGAGTGGCTATTCATATTTGTGAGATGCAATTATATATCTACCATCCATTAACAGCATAATCTTGGGTCA